CGCGGGCTGCGAGCGCACCGGCGCGCGAGCGAGCGCGGCTTGGGCTGGGGGGCTGTAGCTCTGCAGTCCGACGTGGAGCAGTGCTTCTGCCAGGGACAAGCCCCCACCCCAGCTTCCTGAGGGAGCCGGGAAGCCCAGGGGGCTTGGGGCCAGCCTTATCACCCCACAGCCACCCCCAAGCTGGACACAGACTGTCCGTTGCCCAGCTGAGCCCCACGGATGCTTGGACACCTCAGAGTTGAGCCCAGGGGGCCTCCCGGCCTCGCCAGGTGGAGTCCAGCCTCTGCTAGCACTGCACCTCCACCGGAGAGGCACAATGTCGCCTTTGTTCCTGGCGGGGCTCAGTCCAGGGTGCAGCCCTCCTGGCCAAGAGAGGATAGGCCAAGGCAGGGGACAGAGCCGAGGCCCTGGGGTCTCTGAGGGGAGCCGGGGTGCCCGGGGCACCGGCTGCAGCATTTCTCCAGACTAGGACGAGGGGACGCTCTTCAGGCTGACCAAAGGGCCAACCAGGGGGCCCCACCCCATGCGAGACAGTGGGGTGCAGCTGTCTGATGGCATTTTTCTCTTTCAGAAAATGGGGCTTCGAGGCCCTCCCGGGCCCCAAGGGCCACCTGGGAAGCCGGGGAAGGACGGCATTGACGTGAGTTCAGGGGTGGGGAGGGCAGGGGTCCTGGGGGTTCTTGCTGTGGCCCCAGCCTCCCTGAGGCCCAGTGAGGAAGTGAACTGCACCTCCCAGGGCTGGGGGGTGTCTCTGTGGGATGTGAAGCAGGACATGGCCAATCCTTGCTCCTCCTTGGGGAAGGCCCCCCACCCCTGCCCCAGGGATGGCCTCCCCAGAGCCGGTGGGGGGGCTCCGCAGTGCTCTTTGGACTGGAAATGTGGGCACTGGGGTGTGTGTCTCCAGGTCCCTGGAGGGGCCCGTGCTCCTGTTTTCTGGGGATGAAGACTTGGGGCCTGCCCCCCCAGGGGGTCTTGTTGGGGGCTGCCAGGAGCTGGAGCCAGCCTTGGAGGGAGCGTGGGGGCTAGCTCTGCCCCAGAAATGGCGTCCTCCCAAAGGGTGCCCAGGCTCAGTGTGGCCCAGGCAGCATGGGAGACAGATGAAGTCCGGTAGCTCCCACCCGACTTGGGTGAAAGTCCCCAGCCGACCCACCTCCACGAAATCCAGGCCCTCCAGGCCTCTCCCCCAGGTACCGTCCCCGGGTGGAGCCCCCCTTGGCCAGCCCTCTGCTGCCTGCTCAGTCCCCAGGGCCCCTGCCTGGCCCCTGATGGCCTTGAGTCTCCGTCCCGCCACCCCCTCCACAGGGCTGTTGCTCAGTGCCACCATGTTGAACCCTGGACCCAGGTGGCCTCCCCAGGCCCCTCCCTACTCCTGGGCATCTGGTAGTTTCTTCTGGGGACACTTCTACTTGAAACCTGGCCTGGAAGCCTTGGTTAAAAGGTCTCAGACCTAGTGGTCATCGAGGGTGGAGGGGGTGCTGGGGTGCCTTCCTGGTTCTCTGCGTGTCTGAGGGTCTGCCATCTCCGGCCAGGGTTCTGAAGTTTCTCAGGCAGGTGGAGGGGTGGGGGCTTCATGACAGGTCCCATCATCTCTGGGGTGTTGTCTTCCTGGGCCCCCAAAGCTGTGTGAGCCCCAGTGCAGCTCGTCCCTCCCCCGGCCCCTGCCTCTGCGCCTGGCCCTAGAGCGGAGGTGCCCCCAGGTGTGGGTGACGGGGTGAGGGGCTCCCATCTCGCCTCCTGGGGCTAGCCTCCAGGGCCCAGCTCTGCTCCCCTGGGGTGGAGTTTCCAGGGGACACTTGGTCACGTGTGGATGTCTCCCCTTCTGCAGGGAGAAGTTGGTCCTCCGGGTCTGCCCGGGCCCTCGGTGAGTGTCCTGGCTGAGACGGGGCGTGGGGGTGGCGATCTACTTCCAGTCTGGAGGGGAGGGGTGGGCCCAGAACAGAGGGCTCATTGACACTGCTTCACACCACGCTGGGCCCTGGGTCACCAAAGGGGAGGCCTCCGAGCAGAGGCAGAAGGGACGGGGTGGGAGAGGGTACGTGGGACTGTGTCTCTGGGCAGTCTGGCCTTGAAGCTTCTTTGGACCAGTGTCCCGGCAGGCCAGGGGAGGGGTCTGTTTCCCTGCCTGTCCATCCCACGAGGGAGCCCTAACGAAGCTGTTCAGGCCCAGCTAGGAGCTGAGGGTTCCAGGCTCACTGAAGGTCCCACAGAGTGACCCACTGGCCCTTCGCTGGGGAGGCTGAAGTGGCCAGGGGGGCATCATACAGAATAAGGGTGGGAGGCAGCTGGAGAGGGCAGCCCTCCCCGGGCCAGCAAGGGGTGGGCAGGTGAGCCCTAGCTGGGTCAGGGGCCGCGGGGCAGCAGGGAGGGCCAGGCCTCCGGTGGAGAGGGGCCCATCTCGGATTGCTGGGTGCTTCCCAGCTGGAAAACACTTTTCTTCTTGGTGAAGGTCAAGGCTCTGGCCAGAGCTTTCCTCACGCCTCTGCCTTTCCCCTTACAGGGACCGAAAGGGGCCCCAGGCAAGCCTGGGAAACCAGGAGAGTCCGGGCTCCCGGGGCTTCCCGGTGTGGACGTGAGTGTGGCGGCCCCTCTCCTGGGCCTCCTTCCCCTCCCCCTCCCATTCGTGCTCCCTCGCTGCCGCCTCCTCCCATGAGCCCCGCCCAGCCTGGAAGGGCTCCATCCCAGCGCCCAGGAGTCAGGTTTAATTGCTGTTCTCCAGCTGGGCTTGCTCAAGCAGGAAACAAGAGGTCCCAAGCAGTCCCAGGAGGGTCTCCGGACGTCCCCCAGCAGGAGTCCCCTGGCCTTTGTCCCAGACCGTTAGTGTCTAGTCAGCCAGCAGACAGAGCCAGTGCACAGCAGAGGTGAAGGTCCCGCCAGCTCCTGCTTATCTGGGAACAAACGCCCATTATCCGTCCCGTCTGAGCCCGGCCAGCAGCGTCGGTCTGTCATCAGGGACTCAAGGCCTGGCCCCAGGACATGGAGCTTTGCTCGCACTGGGGGGGGGGGGCGGGGGACCTGAGAGGTGGCTCTTCTGCCTGCTGGGCTTGCCAGCTCCAGCAGGTGTTCCCCTTGCTGGCTTCCCACGTATGCCCCCACCTCCCCGCTCCCCCAGCACACCAAGTGGACAGCGGATGGGGCCAGGAGAGGAAGGTGCCAGCCCGAGGGTCTCTGTGATCTCTGGACCGCTTTTAGTTAGGGAAGGGCCTATGGCTGGTCCTTCCCACGTGGCCTCACCAAGCCGACCTGCCTCCTGCTTTCCCAGGGCCTGACTGGGCAGGATGGACCTCCTGGACCCAAGGGCGCCCCCGGAGAACGGGTAAGGCAGGCACCACGTCCAGTGGCTTCAGCTCAGGGGCGAGGTCCCTGCCAGGGGTGGCCAGTCTGAGCACCATCTGTCCACAAGGTGTGGGTCTGGTGGTCCTGAGGGCAGCTGCCATGACTGGACTGGCCGGGCCCGGCCCCCACCGTGGGGTGGGTGGGCAGGAGGGCAGGTGGGCACAGGGTGGCTGGTGCCTTCTCCTGTCCTGCGCCCCTTGCTGGTCAGAGTTGTCGGAGCGTTCAGACTTTGTAGGGCAGGCTGGTGTGGTTGGGGAGTGACCGCCCCACGTGCTCTCCTCCTCCAGGTAAACTGCTGCTTCTCCCTCTGTGCCCACCCGAGGGGCCCGCGGTCACCCAGCCTGCCCCCTAATTCTGACCATTGTCCTTTGGTGCACCCCCTCTTCCTGATGCACCGACTCCTCTTCAGGAAAGCTTTCCTTCCCCTCTCTGGCTTCCAAGTGCAATGGTCCCTCTCCTTCCCCCTTTGGAGAAGTGGCTGTCCCCCAGCCCTGGGGTGCACAGGGTGGGGGGCCAGGCGAGAGTCGGGGGAGCCAGGACGTAGCCCTGCTTTGGGGAACTCGGCTGTAGGAGTCGGAAACAAGGGAGAGAGTGGCCGCCTGTGGCCGCATGTCCTTTGGTGGTGCTGAGGGGTGGAGGGCTGGGGGAGGTGGGGCAGCCTGGGGTGGGGGGTGGGGCCTTCCGTACAAGGACCTCTTCCTGGGGATGCAAGGCAGCAAGAGGACCAGGAGGGCCCTGGGTGGACAAGGCAGCTGCTGGAGGTTCAGGGCTCCCCACTGTGGGCCGAGGAGGCCGGAGGGCTTCCTAGCAGAGATGGGCGTCGGGCTCTTCTGTGTGGCTCAGGTCACACCTGGTGTGGGCCTTCCTGGTGGCCCATCCAGACACAGCGCTCTTAAGAAGAGACCTTTTCTGGCTTTTCCTCAGCAGGATTGTTGGCAAAGGACTGGTCCCAGGCCACTGGGGCATCAGAGATCCCCCCTTCCAGTCTCCTGTAAAATGGGGATCCCTTCCTCTAAGGAGATGGACTTGCGAGGGAAGGGAACAGGTCTGCAAACCTAGGCGAGGGTGCCTGGGCCCAGCCCACTCCCAACACGCTGTTTCCTTCTGCAGGGAAGCCTGGGACCCCCGGGGCCACCTGGGCTGGGGGGTGAGTATTGTCTGCTCCCCATGGAGCTGGAGTTGCCGCAGGAGGTCGTGCACAGCCCTCTGTCTGTGGTCCCTCTGCAGCTTCTCCTGGGGACTGTCCCCGGGGCTGCGGTCTGGGGTGCTCCTGGGCTGTGCCCTCGCCCCCCAAGCATTCCTCCCCCATGACACACCTGATCAGCTCAGGGGGAAGTGGTGGGTGGTGGGCAGCCCCCTCCCATCCCCAGCAAGTTCTGATCCCATGCTTGGTGTTGCAGGGCAAAGGCCTCCCTGGACCCCCCGTGAGTACCGACAACCCTTGCAGCCCCCACCCAAGTGGGCACACCATACCCAGAGCCAACATGGCCGCCAGGTCCCAAACCATGGCTGGGGGTGGGGCTTCTGGGGGTGACAGTGACCTGACCCCCCACCCTGTGTGGGGACACGGGAGCTGGGTCTGAACTCCCCCTGGATCCTCAGAGCTCCTTGGGTGCAGACCCCCCATCTCTCATTTACCTCCCTCAGGGAGAGGCAGGAGTGAGTGGCCCCCCCGGTGGAATTGGCCTCCGGGGTGCTCCGGTAAGTGGCTGTCAGGATTCCCCCAAATTTGACCGTCAGGGGGCTTTCCTTCCCTTTGCCCTGCCCCTCCTCCTCCCTTTTCCTCTGCCCCCCCACTTCCTTTTCTGGTGAGCCTTGCTGGCTGACTTTCTGGGACAGGGCAGACCCTCTCTCCGGACACACAGAGGACTCAGAGCAAGGCCAGGGCAGGGGAGGTGGGCAGTGCCGGGAGTGTCCCTGTGAAGGCATCTTCGGGGCAGGAGAAGGAGCTGGTCACCGCACTCAGGTGGGGGCTGGCCTTGCTCCGTCTAAGTCATAATTCCCCCACAGGGACCCTCTGGACTCCCAGGCCTCCCTGGTCCCCCGGGACCTCCTGGACCCCCTGTGAGTACTGGGCAGGGGCCCCAGAGCTCCTCGGAGGAAGTCTCAGGCATGAATGACGGCATGGTGGGCATGACTCCCTGCCCCCTGGCCCCTCAGCCCCAGGACCCACGCCCACCCGCAGATTTCAGCAGCACACCAGGCAGTGGCTGGGGCTGAGTCCGCCGACCTGAGGCTGGTCCAGGGCTCGGGACTAGTGGCCACCCCACCCCAAGGGCAGGTGGTTTCTGTCATTGTCACGTGCCCTGCAGGTTGGCCAGCAGCATCTAGCACTGACCACCGAGGGAGGAAGGGCCCCCGAGTCCCCTGGTGGTCCTGAGTGGTGGGTGGCAGGAAGTGACGGGTAGGAGGGGTGGACGGGCCATGTCAAAGTTGCTGTCTCTGTGTTCCAGGGTCACCCAGGGGTCCTCCCCGAAGGCGCTACTGACCTTCAGGTGGGCACGTGCACCTTTTGTGAAGCCTTTTGTCGAGGTGCCTTTCTTGGTGGGAGGGGGCTCTGGCCCGATCCACCACCTTGGGGCCCCTCTGGACAGCGCAGGAAGGCAGGGATGTGGGGGCTCCATGCAGGTAGCACAGCTCTGGGTGCAGCTTCCCCTGCATCCTCCTCCCCCTCTGCTGGTCCAGCCCTGCACCGGCGCCCCCCCACCCCTGCCCTGCCCCACATGCGCAGTAGTGTGGATCTAAATTAAGCAGAATCAAATGCTACACAGACCCACTCCTCTTGGGCACAGCTGCACTTGGAGTGATGTCAGCCGCACGGGGTGAGTTGGGCAGCACTTGGGGATAGACAGAATACTTCCCCATCATGGAAGGTTCCAGACTAGAGTTTGGGACCCACTTTATCTTGGTTGTTGAGCTTTACCGCTCGTGTGAAAAGAAAAACTGACTTCGGAGTGCTGG